TGTTTTTCTTTTCCTTTAATAATGCGTAATAGATACATATTTTTGGAGGGTACATGTGATAATTTGTAAAGATCAAATCTCAGTGTACTTGGGATATTCATCACCTTAGATGTTTTTCCTTCCTTTATGTTAGAAACACTTGAATTAATTTTTTCTAGTTTTTTTTGAAATGTACACTAGATTATTATAAATTATAGTCACCTTGCTGATCTAATACTACATTTATTTTTTTTGAGACAGAGTCTCTCACTGTTGCCTGGGCTGGAGTGCAGTGGCACAATCTTGGCGCACTGCAACCTCTGCCTCTTGGGTTCAAGCAATTCTCCTGCCTCAGCCTCCCGAGTAGCTGGAATTACAAGTGCCCGCCACCACCGCCAGCTAATTTTTCATATTTTTAGTAGAGACTGGGTTTCACTATGTTGGCCAGGCTGGTCTTGAACTCCTGACCTCGTGATTTGCCCACCTTGGCCTCCCAAAGTGCTGTGATTACCGGCCTGAGCCACTGCGCCTGGCCTACACTACATTTTATTTCTTCTGTTAAACTGTATATTTGTGCCCGTTAATCAACTTGTCTTTATTTCTTCCCTCCTCCCCACTACTCTTCCCATCCTCGTAACCACCAATCTACTCTCATCTTCATGAGACCTACTTTTTTTTTTTTTAAACTCCTACATATGAGTGAGAACATATATTTGTCTCTCTGTGGTTGGCTTATTATTATTTTTTAGTAGTGATGAAGTCTCACTATGTTGCCCAGGTTGGTTTCAAACTCTGAAGCTCAAGTGATCCTCCTGCCTTGGCCTTCCAAAGTGCTTGGATTACAGGCTTGAACCACCACCTCTAGACTGCATGACTTATCTCACTTAACATTATGACCTCCAGTTTCATCCATGTTGCTGCAAATGATTTCATTCTTTTTTTATGGCTCAGTAATATTCCATTGTGTGTATATACCACATTTTCTTTATCCATTCATCTGTAGTTGGGCACTTAGGTTAATTCCATGTTTTGGCTATTATGAATAGTTCTGCAATAAACATGAGAGTACAGGTATCTTTTGATACATTGATTTCCTTTCTTTTGGATATAGAATTACTATATAATCCAGTAGCAATTTGCTGGATTATATAGTAATTCTATTTTTAGTTTTTTGAGGAACAACTATACTCTTGCCACAATGGCTGTACTAATTTACATTCCAGCAAACAGTGTACAAGAGTTTCCTTTTCTCTACATCCTCACCAGCATTCATTATTGCCTGTTTTTCTTTTCCTTTCCTTTTCTTTTTTTTTCTGAGATGGAGTCTTGCTTTATCACCCAGGCTGGAGTGCAGTGGAGCAATATTGGCTCACTGCAACCTCCACTTCCCGAGTTCAAACAATTCTCCTGTCTCAGCCTCCCAAATAGCTGGGTTTACAGGCACACACCACCATGCCTGGGTAATTTTTGTATTTTTAGTAGAGACGGGGTTTCATCGTGTTGGCCAGGCTGGTCTCAAACTCCCGACCTTGTGATCTGCCTGCATCAGCCTCCCAAAATGCTGGGATTACAGGCATGTGCCACTGCGCCCAGCCTTCCTACTTTTCAATATAAGCCATTTTAACTGGGGTGAGATTATAACTCATTGTAGTTTTGATTTGCAGTTCTCTGATGACTAGTGATGTTGAGCATTTTTTTCATGTACCTGTTGGCCATTTGTATGTCTTCTTTTGAAAATTTCAGATCATTTGCCTATTTATTTTTTTTAGGCAGGGTCTCACTTTGTTTTTCACACTGGAGTGCAACGGTGAGTGTTGGCCCACTGCAACATCCTGCTTCCTTGGCTCAGGTGATTCTCCCACTTCAGCCTCCTGAGCTTGCGATCACAGGCATGGTATGCTACCACATGCAGCTAATTATTTTATAGTACACATTTATGTGTACTATAAAACAGTATACTTCTAGTTCCTTTCTCTTATCCTCTGTGCTAAGAGAGGATATGAGTTTTGTTATGTTTTACTTTTACATATTCTACAAAGCCACATTATTTTTCTTCTCATACTGCTTTAGACTGCCAGTTATCTTTCACAGTGATTAAAAATAAGAAAAATGCTTTTATGTTTACCTTCATTTATGCCATTTCCAGTATTCTTATTTCTTTATGGAGGTACATGTATCTCTAACGGCATAATATTTCCTCCAGCCTGAGGTACTTTCTTTTATCCTTTTTTGCTGATAATGACTTCTCTGTTTTTGTTCCCCTTAAAAACAAAAGAAAACAAAACAAAAAAAGGAACCAAAATATCTTTTCTTTTTGAAAGATATTTTTACCAGGTACAGGATTGATGGTTGAGTTTTTCTCTTTTAGTGCTTTCAGCATATCACACCATTGATTTCTGGCTTACATAATTTTTTATGAGAAACCAGCTGTAATTTTTTGTTTCAATGTAATGTTTTTTTGTTTTCTTCTAGTTGCCTTAAACATTTCTTTTTATCTTTGGTTTTGAGAAGTTCAGTATGGTTTGTGTAGTTGGTTTTCGGGATTAGAGGTGTAATCTATTCTGCCTGTTCGCTGAACTAATTAATATCTGTGGTTTTCTGTCTATTCGTTTTGAAAATCCCCAACCTTATCTCCTCAGATATTTCTTTTGCCCATTTCTCTTTTTCTTATAGAATATCAGTTATGTGAATATTACATCATCGATATGATCTCTCATCTCTTGGGTTTTCTGTTCTGTCTACCTTCCCCTGCCTACTCCCCTCACATTTTCCCCCTTTTGTTGCATTTTGGATAATCTTTTATGCAACTCTGTTGAGTTTACCCTTGAGCCATTACAAAGGATTCTTCAACTCCATTATCATATTTTTCCTTTGTTTCTGACAATATATTGAGTTTTTCCTTCTTTCTGTGACTTAAAATGTATGGTTGAAACATAAGTGTTTCATATAGGACAGCAGAGACTGAACCAAGTAGTATCTTTCTTCAGCTTGGGGGTTGAGTCAATATAATCTATAGTTGAGCTTCATTTTGGTCTTCTTGTTGCTATGGTTACCCTCAGTATAATACAGGGTTCAATTTCCATTCTAGGGTTACTTGTTTTTTTTTAGGATTTGGGGCTCGGGAGTTTTTTTCTAATGTTTGCTCTACCCTCAACTTTTGATCTTATATTCTGTTTGTTATCACACCTCAGAGAGGGTCTCTGTCCACCTTCTTCTTCCCCTCCGGCTGTGTACTATAGTTATTTATTCCTCGGTGCTTGCCAGCCAAAGGGTGGATGTTAGGGAGTGCTAGGGAGGGGGACATTCTCTGTAGTCCTATTTCTCAGTTTTAGGCAGGTGCTGTGTCCCTGGATCTTGGGGTTGAGACCTTTTCATTGATCTTCCTTCTTCCCAGTAGTAGGGGATCTGTAAGTTCTGAGGCCATTATGTTTTCCTGTCCCTCTCCAGGGATAAAGGTTTTTGTTAATTTGTTTTTGTTTTTTTCTGTTATTTTCTTGTAGTTGGGAGTGGGAGATGGGGTAACTAAAAATAGTTATTCTACAAAGTGTGTTAGTTCTGTTTGTTTGGTTTTTTAAAAAATACTTTTAATGTTCTGTAGCTATTTCCTTTGGCCACTTTTTGCTAGGTTGAATTATCACTGCCACTAGAGAGAGTTTTTGACATCAGTTGTCAGGTATTATTAAATATATTTATAAATATAATTTGGTGAATAATATATATTTTTTCAGTTTTCATATTGACTAACTTCTTGAATTATTCTTTAATTGTGCATTTTTATCAACAAAAATCTTGCTTGGCAGATACTAGGCACTCAACAAAGAATTGTTGAATGGATGTATTTATTGTGATTTCTTTTGTCCCTTTCCTATGCATAGTTTTTCTTTCTTATTTCTGATTACTATAATACTTATTTCCGAGAGGGTTAAAAAGTGTTTTTTGGAGTCTCTTAGAATTTCTGAACATTCAGTTAGAGAGGATCTTTTTTGCCAATCAAAGTAATGTGCATAAGTTTTCCCGAGGTTAAAGGAAGTTGTGTAATTACACAAAATTCTTCTCACATTGTTGTGGCTATTGGAGGACCTTTGTACTCTTGGACCTTGATAAGGACTCCAAAGAGAAAGAATAAATAATTCAGTTGTGTGAGTTTGTAATATTCAGATACTCCCCTACTTACCCTGGGATTACAGCTTGAGAAACCCATTATAAATTGAGAATATTGGAAGATGAAAAGACATTGCATACACCTAAACCTACCAAACATTAGAGTGTAGCCTAGTCTATAAATGTGTTTAGGCTGGGGGCGGTGGCTCATGCCTGTAGTTTCAGCACTTTGGGAAGCCGAGGTGGGTGGATCATTTGAGGCCAGGGAGTTTGAGACCAGCAGCCTGGCCAACATGGTGAAAATACAAAATTATTTTACTAAATATTCTACAAAAAATACAAAATTAGCTGGGCTTGGTGGTGCATGTCTGTAATCACAGCTACTTGGGAGAATGAGCCAGGAGATTCGCTTGAACCAGGCGGTGGAGGTTGCAGTCAGCCAAGATGGCGCCACTACACTCCAGCCTGGGTGAAAGGAGTGAAACTCCATCTAAAATACACACACACACACACACACACACACACACACACACACGCTCAGAACACTTACATTAGCCTACAGTTGGGCAAAATCATCTAATACAACTCAGATTTTATAGTAAAGTATTAAATATCTCATGTAATTTATTGAGTACTGTATGGTTTCTACTGAATGTATATCACTTTCACACCATTGTAAAATTGAAAAATCAAGTTGGGGGCCATCTATATGTATTTTACAGTAAACATGGTCTATTCTTGACTGAGTGCAGTAACAAGGTCTAAAAGAGGAAGAAGAGGGAGAAACTTAATATGATTTTACTAAAATTTACTAGTGCCTTTTCTGGAGATGGAGACATGATTTGTTAAAGGTGATAGCTGCCTCAGCTTCCTCAACAACTGAAATGCCTCTCAAGGTTGGCTTTATCATCTTCTTCCAGGTGATTTACTGTTCTTTTGGTGGAACATCCAAAGGGCTGCACTTCAATAATTTAATAGTTGGACTTGTCCTCCTTACAAGAGGCAAAGATGAAGAGAAAGCAAAATGTAAGTACTTTTATTATCTCAAAAATGATAATACCACATCTCTGTACAGAATAATTTATCTCAAAATTCTGGTGACAGGCAGCGGATTTGAATTGACATTTTTCCAAAGAAGATATACAAGTGGCAAATAAATACCTGAAAAAATGTGTAACCTAATAAGTCATTAGAGAAATGTAAATTAAAACTACAGTGAGATACTGCTTCACACCTACTAGAGTGGCTAAAATTAAAAAGCCTGATAATAACAAGTGTTGAGGAAGCGGTGGGAAAATTGTGAACTCTATCATACATTGCTGATGGGAGTATAATGTAGCACAGCAACTTTGGAAACAAACTTGGCAGCTCCTCAGATTGTTAAACATTGAGTTACTGTGTGTCCCAGCAATTCCACTCCTAAGTATATACCCAAGAAAATTTAATACATATGCTTACCACAAAAAAAATGTACAGAAATAGTCATAACAGCATTGTTGATAATAGAAAATGGAAGCAATTCTAATGTCCACCAGCTGGTAAATGGGTAAAGAAAACATGATATATCCATATGCTGGAAAATGACTACTATAAAAAGGAATAAAGTACTGATACATGCTACAGTATGGATGGAACTTGAAAACGTTTTGCTTAGTGATAGATGTCATTCACAGTAGGCCATATATTATGATTCCATTTACATGAAATTTCAAGATTAGGCAAATCTACAGTGGCAGAAAATGATAGATTCGTGGTTGCTAGAGGTATCAGGTGAGAGGGCAATGGAGAACGACTGCTCGTGGGTACAAGGTTTCCTTTTCGGTTGGTGGAAATGTTCTGGAATTACATAGGAGTGACAGTTACACAACCTTATAAGTATACTTTAAAAATCACTGAAATGTTAACTTTATTATTTATTTATTTTTTTATTTTTTGAGATGGAGTTTCACTCTTGTTGCCCAGGCTGGAGTGTAATGGCAACATCTCGGCTCCCTGCAACCTCTGCCTCCTGGGTTCAGGTGATTCTCCCGTCTCAGCCTCCCCAGTAACTGGGATTATAGGCACCCAGCACCATGCTTGGCTAATTTTTTGTATTTTTAGTATAGATGGGGTTTCAGTATGTTAGCCAGGCTGCTCCTGATCTCAGGCGATCCACCCGCCTTGGCCTCCCAAAGTGCTAGGATTACAGGCATGAGCCACCTCGCCCAACCCTGAATTGTTTACTTTAAAAGGGTGAATTTTATGGGATGTGAATTATGTCCCAATATAACTTATTTTTTAAAAATTCTAATGATATAGACGTAGTAGTCTATTCTTTGTTTCACAAACAAAACCAAAGCTTACTTACTTGATAATATTTCGTATACATTCTTAGTAAAAGGTTTAATTTTTTTTATGTTTTACTTTTAATTTTAACTTCAGAAATTAATTTTATTAGGCGAATTATCTAAGCACAGAAAATAGTGACACCTCATTCATTAACTTTAAATCTTGCTGATCCGGGAAGTGCTATAATGAGAGTGACATTTCCTCCCCTACATTTGAAAGGGAAGATAATCTTAGTTAATTAGTGTCCTTCTGTGTTTCATAGCATATAGATTTATTTACTTTAAAAAAATTCACCCGTTTAATTGTTTATAAGATCTTCTGTCCCCTCATTCTTTTCTTTGACTTCCCCAAAGGCACATCTGCTCTTACCAAAAGCATTCATAAACATTGTAAATTTTATTGAAGATTTCCCAGGGGAAGTATGGAAACTGTTTGTGTTACACAGAATGTATCATTTTGTTCCCAAAATTCCTATGGTTTTATTCTTGACCACCATATGCTGGGTCTTTCTTTCTTCCTTTGTTTTTTTCTAATCTGCCTACTATGGTTTGAACGTTTGTGTCTCCCTCAAAATTGGTTTGTTGAAAGCCTAACCACCAAGGTGATCGTATGAGGAGATGGGGCCTTTGGGAGATGATTAGGTCATGAGGGTTAGTCATAAATATCTTATTAGTGGGATTAAATGCCCTAATAAAAAAGGCCCTGGAGAGACCCTTTACATTTTCCCCCATGTGAGGCTACAATAAGAAGATGGCTGTCTCTGAACTAGGAAGTGGTCCCTCAGTAGATACCAAATTGATGGTGTACTTCCTAGCCTCTTCAACTGTAAGAAATAAATTTGTTATTTATAAGCATCTAGTTTATGGTATTTTGTTACAGCAGCCTCAGCAGACTAAGATACTGCCCTGGGACTGCTTCTAAATCTCTCAGAATCCACTCCTATTCCTGAATCTAGACATTATTTTTAATTCTTGCTGTGGTTTGAACACATCACCCAAAGTTCATGTGTGGAAACTTAATCCCCAGTACAACAGTGTTGAGAGGTGGGACCTTTAAGAGATGATAAGGTCATGAGGGGTCCACACCCATGAATGAATTAATGCTATTATCTCAGGAGTGAGCTTCTTATCCAGTGAATGGCATCCTTATAAAGGAAGAGTTCAGCCTTTTTCTCTCTCCCTCTTGCATGTGTTCTCTTGCTCTTATGCTTTCGACTATGGGATGATGGAAGAGCAAAAAGGTCCTTGCCAGATGCAGGTCCCTTGACCTTGGACTTCTTTTTTTTTTTTGAGATGGAGTCTTGCTCTGTCGCCACGCTGGAGTGCAGTGACACAATTGGCTCACTGCAACCTCTGCCTCCCAGGTTCAAGTGATTCTCCTACCTCGGCCTCCTGAGTTCCTAGGACTACAGGCTCATGCCACCACACCCAGCTAATTTTTGTATTTTTAGTAGAGATGGTGTTTCACCATTTTGTCCAGAAAGGTCTTGATCTCTTGACTTTGTGATCTGCCTGTCTTGGCCTCCCAAAGTGCTGGGATTACAGGTGTGAGCCACCATGCCCCACCAACCTTGGACTTCTTAGCCTCTAGAATTGTGAGAAATAAATCTCTTTTTATTATAATAAATTGCTAGGTCTATAATACTCTATTTTAGCAGCACAAAATCATGAATGATGAAATCATTTTTTACAAAAGTATTGAGGTATAATTATCATACACTAATAAGCACATAAATAAAGTATATATTTTGATATGTGTTTTTTTGGTTTTTTTTGGAGAGGATTGGGGACAGAGGAGATAGCTTCACTGTGTAGCCCAGGCTGGAGTGTAGTGGCACAGTCATAGCTCACTGTAGCCCTTAACTCCTGGGCTCAAGTAATCCTCCTACCTCAGCCTCCCACATAGCTAGGACTATAGGTGCATGCCACCATGCCTAGCTACTTTATCTTATTTTTTTAGAGATAGGGTCTTTCTAGGTTGCCGAGGCTGGACTCAAACTCCTGGCCTCAAGTGATCCTCCTGCCTCTGCCTTCCAGAGTACTAGGATTACGGACTTGAGCCATCATACATAGTCATATATTTTTATATGTTTTGACACATGTGATATGCCCACTAAACTATTACCATAATCAATATAAGGAATGTATCAGTAAACTCAGTTTTATGTATTAGAATATAATTGTGATTCTGGTTTTTCCAAATCACCATTTCTCTACCAGCAGAAACATAAATTGGCCCCAGGCAGCAACAATTAAAAATACAGGGCTGGTATGCTAGAGCATGCCTGTAATCCTAGTTATTTGGGATGCTGAGGCAGGAGGATCTTTTTGAGGCCAGGAACTTAAGGTTCATACAAATAATACAAATAAAATAATAGAAATAAAAAAACAATACAATATAACACCTATTTCGAGAGCATTCACATTGTTTTAGGTATTATAAATAACCTAAGGATGATTTAAAATAATGGGAGGATATGGGTAGGTTAATGTGTCAACTGAAAAAAATTATGATATCTATAAATTTAGAAAGGAGACTTTATTTCTTATAAAGGGTTATAGCCTTCAAGGCGACCATTTTGATAGTTACTGAAATAACCCTTGTCCAATCAAAGCTGTAGCTATAGCTTGTGGAATGGGAGTCAGTTAGTTAGCATTTGGTGGTGAATGAGCTGCATTTGTTTCAGTATTGCTTATCTCAAGGCCAGTGCTTATTGAAAAACTGATAGAGAAAAAGAAAAACGGCTGGGTGCGGTAGCTTATGCCTGTAATCCCAGCACTTTGGGAGACTGAGACAGGTGGATCACCTGAGGCCAGGAGTTCAAGACCAGTCTGACCAATATTTCTGAAAATACAAAAATTAACTGAGCATGATTGTATGCAACTGTAGTCCCAGCTACTAGGGAGGCTGAGACAGGAGAATTGCTTGAACCCAGGAGGTGGAAGTTGCAGTGAGCCAAGATTATGCTACTGCACTCCAGCCTGGGCAACAGGGCAAGACTCTGTCTCAAAAAAAAAAAAAAGGAAAGGAAAAGAAAAACCTTGTAGCAGTTAGAACATAGTTTATTCTTTATTGGTGGGTTGATTGAGATGAAGTTTCATCTTGTCTCCCAGTCTGCAGTGCAGTGGCAAGATAGCTCACTGCAGCCTTGGGCTCAAGCGATCTTCCTGTTTCAGCCTCCTGAGTAGCTGGGGCTATAGGCATGTGTCACGATGCCCAGCTAATTTTTAAATTTTTTGTAGAGATAGAGGTGTCATTATGTTGCCCATGCTGGTCTTGAACTCCTGGTCACAACTGATTCTCTCATCTTGGCATCCCAAAGTGCTGGGATTACATATGTGAGCCACCACACCCGGCAGTTTGTAAGTGTGGGGGTACATGTAAGTCATACATGTACCTGTATGTATGTAACGCTATGCCTGGCATAGCGTTAGGTCTTGTTTACAAGTTGGTATCTTTTTGCCACAAAGTCTGTCAGTCTTATGATGTTTATTTTAACATTAATGCTGGTTAGTTGTTGCATCTAAACTGCAAAAGGGATTGGGATAATGAGATGTGTCTGACTGCCCATCCCCTCATGACCAGTATCTCTGTTTTTAAGGATTTTCTGGGATCCCTTTGGCCAAGAGAGAGAGTCTGTTCAGTTGGTTGGGGTGCTTAGGATTTTTCACGTGCAAATACCATGCCATTTTATATGAGGCTTGAGCACCTTCAGATTTTGGTGCCTTTGGGGGTTCTGTAACTAATCCCCTATGGATACTGAGGTATAGCTGGTAACAATTTTTTAAGTCACAAACATATATTTTTAAAGTTTCTTCATTTTTAAAATATGATCGTATTTGTTTTCTAGGGCTGCCTTAACAAAGCACCACAAACTGGGTAGCTTAAAACAACAGATATTTATTATCTCACAGTTATAAAGGCTAGAAGTTCAAAATCAAAGTGTCAGCAGGGCCATGCTTTTTCTGAAACCTGGGAAAGATTTCCCAGGTAGGGAAAATTCTCTCTTGCTTCTCGTGATGACTGACAATCCTTGGGGTTCCTTGGCCTGCAGCTATCATTCTAATCCCTGCCTCTCTTATCACATAGCTTTTTTCTGTTTGTGGTTATCTTTTATTCTTATAAGGGCACCAGTCATACTATATTGGGTCCCACCCTAATGACCTCATCTTCACTTGATTACATCTGCAAGGACTCTTTCCACATAATCTCACAGGCACAGGTACTTCAAGGTTAGGACTTGATTATATGTTTAGGGGGATATAGTTCAGCCTATAACAACAATATTTCAAATATATATGTATATAATACGTACCTCACCTAGCTTTACTATTTCTTAACATTGTATCATTTGTCCCTGATTCCATTTAAAAAAAATATTACAACTAAGGTGAGGTTCTCTTTGTATCCCTTCATGATCCCATTCTCTTCTTCCCTTTACAAAGGTTACCACTTTCCTGAATTTGGTGATCTTTCATTCCTCATGCTGCTTTTTATACATTTATAACATGTTTATGTGTCCTTAAACATTGCCAGTTTCTTTGCAGGTTTAAAGTTTTAAATAAATGGTACATATTAGTTTCCCCTGGGATATGTCCAAGATCCTCCCAGTGGATGTCTGAAACCACAGATAGTCCCAAACCCCATATATACCATTTTTTCCTATACATACGTATCTATAATAAAGCTTAATTTAAAAATTAAACTTTAAGATATTAACACAGAAAGGTATTAACAAAAATAACAGTAAGATAGTACTATTATAAAAATATGCTCTAATAAAAGTTATGTGAATATGGTCACTCTCTCTCTCTTAAAATACCTTATTGTACTATACTCACCCTTCTTGTGATCTATAAGTCTGATAACAAATGACCGCTAAGTGACTGTCAGGCGAGTAACATGGGGATACACTGGACAATAGGATCATTCAGGTCCCAGGTAGGATAAAGAGGGAGGCAAGAGATTTTATATTACTCAAAACAGTGTGCAATTTAAAGTTTATGTATTGTTCATTTCTGAAAATTTCCATTTAATATTTTTGGACCTCTGCTAACCATATGTGACTGAAACCTTGGAAAGGAAAACCTTGGATAAGTGGGTACTACTGTACTATACAGATGGTTTTGCCATTTGCCATATTTTTTAATATTTATCCATTTCAAAACACTTACTTTAAAAAAAAAAACACTAACTTCTGTATAGTATTTCATTATGGGTATCTCATTTTACCTGTTCTCTTGTTGATAGACATTTATCTCTGTTGTCTGATTTTTGCTCTTACAAACAGTACTTCAGTGAACATCATGTATTTTGTACATAGGTATCAGAGTTTTTCAAAGATGGAAGTGGAGTTTCTGGCATACCTCTTGACCTTTACTAGGTTTTGCCAAATTATTCATAAAAGTGGTTGCAATAATTTATGCTCCTGTTAAGAGTGTGTAAGAGGCCCTGTTTCTCCTAGTCTTTGCTGACACTTCATATTGTTTGTTATACCTAAAGATTTTTGCAAATTTGGCATGTTTGAAAAGATATTACACTGCTGTTTAAAATTTTGGTTGCTGGATAATTTTAAGGAATAAACTAAATTATATGTATAAAGTGCTTGGCCCTAGTAATCACTTAGTTATTGTAGCTTTCTCTTTTTCCCTACTTCCACCAAGGTATATTGATCTTTGTTAAGATTAATTTATTCTATCTTTCTTTCTCTTAGACATTTTTAGTCTTTTTTCAAGTGAATCTGGGAACTATGTTATACGGGAAGAAATGGAAAGAATGCTCCATGTGGTGGATGGTAAAGTCCCAGATACGCTCAGGAAGTGTTTCTCAGAGGTATATTTAAAGATTTACATTTTATCCCTTTTTGTTGACAAAGTATTAACTCTTAGTTGTATAATATGTTTTAAGTATGACAAATAGATGTTTATGTGCAGATTACTCCTGGCATTTTTAGACTTACTGATGTTTCTATTTATGTGCTATCCATGATTCATTACTGGTATATTTGTGAATCTGAAAATTTTCAATTCTATTGTAAAGGCAACTATTCATACTAAGAGTATAATGAAATACAATCCTATATACTCACACTAACATACCAGTACACACACACACACACACACACACTCCTGCAGAAACCTGAAACAGTGCTCATGTTGTAGTGTCATTGCTTTTTATCATGGATATCATTCATTCATTAGCTTTGAGCCATCTGTGACCTGTTTTATCAAGGCCTAGTTTCTCATTTATTTCCCCTACTTGATTTGCATAGTGAAATGTTTGTGTTAAAAAATTGTCATCTTTGGGCAGGCAAGGTGGCTCACACCTCTAATCCAAGGACTTTGAGTGGCCCAGGTAAGATCTCTTGAGCCCAGGAATTCAAGACCAGCCTGGACAATGTAGCAATACCCCAACTCTACCAGAGGGGAGAAAAAGTCATTTTTTTCTGTTTTCAAAGATAATATATTTTCATTGTGTCTTCATAGAAAAATTAAACAATAGAAACAATTCAACAATCTTTAACAGAGAGAATTATTTTATTTTTCTTTTCAGAGGTCTGCTAGTATATGAAAAGTCCTTAGTGCTTGTAGAGTAAAAATCCTTTTAGAAATTCTGATTATTTCATGCAGCACTCAGTGCTGCCCAATTTCTTATGGGTGGCTTTTTGACACAATTCTATTTTACCAGTATGACAGTCCTTCGCTGTTCTTTGTTTTATTCAGGGAGCATAGCTGCACCTTCATGACTCTATAGACATTGATTGTTCATACTTCAGCCATATGCATGTATCTGGTTCTGATTATATCTTTGGACTGTCTATCACTAGTTTCTTACCACTCTGGTTTTGAATGTCTCCTGTGTTGATAGCACCTGGTGTTATCTCTTTCTCGCTTTTGAGCTTAGCTCTACAGTTTTTGGTGGTGGTTATGGTGTTATATTTTATCCAGCACCTTGCAGTGTCAGCTGCAAAAGGATGAGCTTCCTGTGTTTTTGGTTGTGACATTGACTGGAATTTGCTGTGATAGTATTTTACTACTTCAGGACAAACTGAGCTATGGTTTGTTTGTTTGTTTTTTGCCCGTAATAAAAATTTACTTGTAAGAAAAAAGGATAATCTAGCAAACCTGATTGATTGGATTTTTGATATAGATGTCCAAAACATTAATATTCTCTGTTCTTTTTCAGGAAGTATGCATATTTTTTCATTTTAATAAGGTTTATGCAGACATTTTCATTTTGTAGATGGAAGCAAAGTATGGTTGGCCACTCAGTTCTCTCAAAATTTAAGCACAGTAGCAGGCACATGTATTAGCTGATAATTAGTGCCATAGGGGAAAATAAAGTAGAATAAGGGGAAAAGGTGGTGATAGAGAAAAGGCATCTGAATGTTGTTATTTTATTTATTTAGTTAGTTTTTGAGCCAGAATCTTGTTCTGTTGCCCAGGCTGGAGTGCAATGATGCCATCTTGGCTCCCTGCAACCTCCGCCTTCCAGGTTCTAGCGATTCTTCTGCCTCAGCCTCCCATGTAGCTGGGACTACAGGCATGCACCACCATGGCTGGCTAATTTTTGTAATTTTAGTAGAGACGGGGTTTAACTATATTGGGCAGGCTGATCTTGAGCTCCTGACCTCAAGTGATCCACCCACCTTGGCCTCCCAAAGTGCTGGGATTACAGGCGTGAGCCACTGCGCTGCCCCGCCTGAATGTTGTTATTTTATATAGAATGGTTAAGTCTGTCAGATAAAGTAATACTTGAGTAAGTGAGAAAGAAAACCATGAAGATATCTGGGGGAACCATTTTTATCAAGAGAATATAGCAAAGGCCTTGAGTTACAGGTGTACTTGGTATGTCCAAGGAACAATAAAAAGGCCAATTTAGTTGGAATGATGTGAAAGCGGAATGGTAGAAAATGAAGTTATAGAGATTATTAGATAGTGGGGTGGGGGGCAGATTATATGTTGCCCTATAGGACAATGTGAGTCCTTTGACTTACCCTGAGTGAGATGGAAACCACTGGAGGGTTTTGAGTAGAGAAGTAATAAAATATGAGTTTTTTTTTTTAATACACATGATCAGTTTAGATCTTATGTGGGAAGTAGGCTGAACCGAGTCCAATTGAGGTATCTGAATAATCCACGTTTGAGGATGGTCATTTAGATCATGGTGTAGCAGTGAGGTTGAGGTCATGAGAAGTTTTTAGATTCTGCATTTATTTCAAAGGTAGAGTTGGCCTAGAATGTTTTCTTGTATTGATTATGGACTACGATAGAGAGTAGAGTGAAGATGATTAGTGTTTAGCCTGATTCAGTAAATGAGTGGAGTTACCACTAATGGAGATGGCTAAGAGTAATGGAGAAGTAGGTTTGGAGGTTGGATATCAAGAAAGATGTAATTAGACTTGAGGATCCTATTAGACACTCAAGTGGAGTTGTCAGATGTGACTTTTTATACATAAATCTGTTGCTGAAGGGAAAGGATTTGTTGTTGGCTTACAGGTAAGGATGAGATCATCTAGGAGTAAGTTTAGATAGAAAACGGATTGGAAGAATGAGTCCTAGATGAGTTTAAAGTTTGGAGAGATGAAGAGGACTCAAAACAGGAGATTAAGAAATGGCCTGCAAGAAAAGAGGATCAATAAAAGAGAATAGTGTCCTGGAAGCCAACTGAGGACAATGTTTCAAAAAGGAAAGAGAACTCAACTATGTCAAATACACTGAAAGATCTAGTGAGTTGAGCTTTGATCACTGAGAAGTGATCATTAAATTTGGTGACCTGCAGGTAGGTCATTGGTGTAGGTCCTGTGGAGTTAAAAAAATTGCTGGTGTCAGGATACTAGATGGAATGTACTTATAAGAGGAAATTGTGATGGGAAGAGTGGAATGCTTAAATTTTCAATTATGGGAAGAGGAAGTTACTATAATAAAGATGTCATAAGACTATGGTAGTTAATGTCTGAGTTGGTGGTGTCTTTAATGAATAGATCTTTAGAGTAGAAAAGATGAAAGAAACGTGAGGCTCGTATATGTGGCTGTGGCTATTTGAATTATTAGATGCCTCTAGTTGGTATAAAACCAACATTGTAAATGGGCTAATGGTATCTGATTCAACTATTTGATTTATTTGCCTGCTCTAATATCTGAGTAGTGTGTCTGATGATTGCATGCAGAACTTTGCCTTCCAAGTATTTATATTAGAATAGGTTAACCTTCGATAACAATGCTTTGTGTTGTCTTTGTATTTATACACACACACACACACACACACAGAGAGAGAGAGAGAGAGAGAAAGAAAGAGAGAGAGAGAGAGAGAGAAGGAGAGAAGCACTTTAGCTAAAATATAAAGACCTCACACTTAGATTTAAGTGATAGGGGTTGCAGCTTTTTCTGTCTTGTGCTTTTATTAGCCTTGTCAGATGCAGTTATAAAGGAATCTACCTAGGTGTTGTATGAAGTTTTTTCCTACTGACTTTTTTTAGGTTATTGACTCTTAAAATGGAAATTTATATTTTACACCATTCTTCCCTTTTTAGAAGAGATTCATGACTCAAATTTGACAGTGGGATTTCTGGACTACAGTTATATGGAATGATTCCCAATGGGCAAGTGAATTTCAGAGATTATTTTGTATTTCACTCAGTCAGCCAGGCAGCGTAGTAACTTTGGAGCCTGGACTACCTAAGTTCAGTCCTCTTTCTTTCACTGTCTAACAGTGGGCAAATTCCTTAGCCTTTTGGTTTCTTATTTTTTTCATGTGTAAAATGGGGTTAATAGTGTCTTCTGTAGAGAGTGCTTTGAAGATTAAATTATAGAGTAGTTCTTAGGACATTGTTAACACTTAGTATTAGCTATATGTGAAGGTGGTAGAAAGGTCCAAAAGGTCTACCTGGTGATAGCATTGGATCCCACAGGTTAAGGGATTAGTTCTGTAAAACTGCCCCCTAGACATCTTCACTAGTTAATCATGATTGATTAAATCATTGGCCATTAGTAGTCAGCTCAACTTTTAGCCCTCTCCCCTCCCTAGAGGTTAGGAGTGGAGTTGAAAGTCCCAACCCTCTAATCATTGTTTTTCTCCAGTGGCCAGCCCCCATCCTGAGGCTATCTATCTAGCCGCCCCCCACCCAGCCTTGGGTCAATTCATTAGTGTACAGAGTCATTTATCACCTTGGAGATCACAAGAATTTTAGGAGTTGTATGCCAGAAAAAGAGATGAAGACCAAATATATATTTAACAATATCGCAACCACTAAGAAATTACAATTGAGGGATGCTATTGATTTTAAGACTTACCCCAATGTCAGAGATGTTAATGTATGTAAAAATGTGCATCAGCTTGTAGAATTTATACTACTAAGCTTCTTTCTAGACTAAACATGGGATACAGAAGGAATATGGGTAGGAGCTCTCATCTCTAAATATGTTGGCAGTGTCCTCATATGTCCCTGCAACATGTCTGAATGTCATGTTGATGCCTTCTGGGATCCTGATTGTCCACTGTAGAAGGACTCCTGGCTAGTTGTTTTTAATTTACAAATGAAATTTAAAGAATATTTTAATTCCACACAGATTTAATTAAAATACAGTAACTCCAGCAGGTTGAAGAGTGCTAAAGAAGAGGGATAAGGCAAGTGAAAAATTGGATTTATTAAATGTTTAAAGAAATTCAGTTTACTGATTTGGGGGTGTACTTTAGCAAACAAAATATGGCTTATTGGCAGTGTACTGCTTTACTGAACTGATGAAATAATTTGTAATTAAATATACCGGTTTTATGCAAGTAGAAGTTATGAAGTACAGTTATTTTTGAAAACCGTTTGATTTCCAAATATATAATGCCCTTACAGTGTTACCAGATAATTGTTCCTTTGTAGATAGTAGAAAGGTAAATGAAAATTAATTATAAATTTCAGGTTGTGCACGTTGTAGTTAAGATAACTTAAAATTTCACTAAACTTATGTTTTCTTGTTTTAATTTTAGGGTGAAAAGGTAAACTATGAAAAGTTTAGAAATTGGCTTTTTCTAAACAAAGATGCCTTTACCTTCTCTCGATGGCTTCTCTCTGGAGGTGTGTATGTTACCCTTACTGATGATAGTGATACTCCTACTTTCTACCAAACTCTGGCTGGAGTCACACATTGTAAGTAATGATATTTCATTGTTTTCTGTTTGCCTTTTTATATATAATTGGCTGGTAATATGAGAATATGCTTATAAGGGAGAAATTTCTTTAAATTTTAAAATTTTTTATTTTTTTGAGTTAGGATCTTGCTCTGTCCCAGGCTGCAGTGCAGTGGCACGATTGTGGCTTATGGCAGCCTTGACCTAGGAGGCTCAAGCAATCCTCGCACCTCATCCTCCCAAGCAGCTGCACTTGCCACCATGCCGGGCTAACTTTTTTCTCTTTTGCAGAGACTGCAGGGTCTATGTTGCCTATACTGATCTTGAACTCCTGGGCTCAAGTTATCTTCCCACCTCAGTTTCCCAAAGTGCTGGGATTACAGTTGTGAGTTGCTGTGCCCAGCTGAGAAATTTTTTTTTTTTGGTCAGTGTTTTGTTTTTTCAAAATGCAATAAAAAGAAATGCTGCAGCATGGAAAATATAGCCCTCTGTGAATTGTCCTTATCCAAGCTGTATTAGTTTCCTAGGGTTGCTGTAACAAATTACCACAATTCATAAACTGAAATAAGACATTTACTCTTAGTTTTTATCAGCTGAAATTAAGATGTTTATAGGGATGTGTTCCCTCTGAAGTCCTGTTATAGAACCAGAATGGAGTCTGCTTACCTGGCTCAGTAAAAGCAGATATCTACACCAGAGTTTTTGTAGCAGTAGAAAGGAAGATGCTTATTTATAGGGCATCAAGCAAAGTGGACCAGGCAGATAAATGCTCAAAGCCTGACCTCCCTAAGGCTCGCGGGTAAGGCAAGGGTAAGTTTCAGGAATATAGAAGCTACAGGGAAAAATCGTAAATCAATACATGGAGGATACTCATTGGTTTTGGCCTAAAGGGGTAGGATATCTTGAAGGAGGAGCTTACAGGTCATAGGTAGGCAGACAGATTAAAAGATTTTCTCATTTGCAATTGGTTAAGGAAGAGAGGCATCTTTTTAAAATTTGAGGTCAGCAGGAAAGAACATTAACTGGCTCATGGGTGTGACTCCCTCCAGGCCCCTCAGGAAGAAATTTATTTATTTTATTTTAATTAATTAATTAATTTGAGATGGAGTATTGCTCTGTCGCCCAGGCTGGAGTGCAATGACATGATCTCAGCTCACGACAACCTCCGCCTCCCAGGTTCAAGTGATTCTTCAGTCTCAGCCTCTTGAGTAGCTGGTATTACAGGCGCCTGCCACCACGGCTGGCTAATTATTTTGTATTTTTAGCAAAGAAGGGTTAAAACTGTTGGCTAGGCTGGTTTCAAACTTCTGACCTCAAGTGATCGTCCTGCCTCGGCCTTCAAAGTGCTAGGATTATAGGCATGAGCCATCGCACCAGGCCGGGGAAGAAATTTAGAACAAAGAAGGATGGTAAGCATTCAGTCTTTAGTTCCCCTGTAGTCTTAAGGTCTGATCAGCTCAGTGGGGGTCCTTGATTGGGGGGTCTGTGCTTCTGAATGACAACTTAGGGACACATATTAAGATGTTATCTTTAGTTGTTATAGGGAAATTAAACATCTTCTTTTAGGCTGCTATTACTTCCTGGCGTAATAAGTTACTTACTTCTCAGGGCTGGCTAGATGCCTGGATTTTCCTTCAGCCACTCAAAAGGTGCTTCCTGCTCTGCCTCAGTCCCTAGAGAACAATTATTCTTTGCCTCTTCCATTTTTGGTGACCCCAAGCATTCCTTGGTTTGTGGCAGCATCTCCCATTCTTTGCAACTCTGTCTTCACATGGCCTTCTCTGTGTGTTTCTGTGTCCTTTCCTCTTTGGATTCAGCGCCTGGGCTAAATCCAGGATAATTTTACTTCAAGATCCTTAATTGGATTATATTATTATTCGGATATATCATTATATCCGAAAAGACCCTGTATCCAAATAAGGTCATATTCTGAGGTTCCAGATAATCATGAATGTTTAGGAGACAGAATTCAATTCACTACACAGGCCTAAGTGTTAATTTCTACTGTTCTTCTTTCTGTTGGAAACAGAAAACTGTTAATACCGATACACTGCATTTCTTTCTTTTTTTTTTTTGAGACCGAGTCTTATTCTTTTTTGCCCAGGCTAGAATGCAGTGGTGTGATCTCAGCTTACTGCAGCCTCCGGCTCCAGGATTCAAGTGATTCTCCTGCCTCAGCCTTCCATGTAGCTGTGATTACAGGCATGCACCACCATGCCTGGTTAATTTTTGTATTTTTAGTAGAAACGGGTTTCACCATGTTGGCCAGGCTGGTCTTGAACTCTTGACCTCAGGTGATCCGCCCGCCTCAACCTCCCAAAGTGCTGGAATTACAGGCATGAGCCACCATGCCTGGCCTGCTTTTCCTTATCCTTTTTTCTATCACTGAAATGCCTTCTCCTTTGCTTCTATCTGTTAAATCCTAACAATCATCCATGAAGACTTAAATCACATACCCTTTTTTGTTTTATGAAATCTTTCTTATCAGAAATTATCTCTCATTCCTCTGAACTCTGATAACACCTTACTTGTACCCTTCCTCAATGAATGTATCCCATTCATCTTTGTATTATAACTGTGGCATTCTGCTTATTTGTACATGTCGTGTCTTCTAATTTATAGGAGATATTCTGTCTTACCTCTGCCCCACGCCAAGCCTAAATAAGTATTTGTTGACTGAATAGAGGAATTGGGGTGTCAGGAGCTATTTGTTCCTATTCTTTTATATGATTTAACTACTAATTACATACCAGTGACTTTTTCCTGTTTTCATTCTGTTGTTATTAAAAGTTCTGACTGATAAGTTCTGGCTTGAATAGGCACTGAGCTTGATTCTACTACTTTTCAGTGCCCTTGTCTTTGTTTTAAATAGGAAAGCCTTTTTAAAAAATTATTTTGATTAAAATATTGAGGGAACCTTTTTATACTCACTGCATAAACTCTAACTTACCTTCATATTTAAATTGTCATATGGATATTCTGTTGAACTTTCACTTTTATTTGTGATTGTATGGTAAATTATTTTTCTGTTAATATTGTCAAGAGTGTGATTGACCGCTTTCCTTAAATGCCGTGTTGTGTTAAAGAAAAAATGATTCTGCTTTTTGTTAAAACAGTGAGGAAAACATTTTTCAAGACTATTCCAATTAAGGGTATCGCAGTAGGGGAGAGAGATCAGCTCAAGTCTCACTATAAACAAGGACAAGTGGGGATTTATAGCCAAGGATTAAGGTGAGGTGGTCAGTGGAGAGAAAAATTGCTAAGAGGAGACGTCAACGGTAGGGGATTCTTGCTAAGGCAGTCCAAGATGAGGGGAATGACTATTGCTGGATTCTTATCCAAAACTGGCCTATGACAGACCAATGACAGGAAGGGGAGCAAGAATGAAACTTAGTAGAAGTGAGCTTAAAGGAATCTAAAAAATTTGGTCAAGGAGCTAGTCTTAAAAATTTACTTTGAAAGTGGAAGCTGCTTATTGTCTGTTTTTGAAGCACCGTATTATTAGAGAAAGCAAACTTATTTATAAGTCAAATAATTATCAATATGTTAAAATTCGCTCCATTTTATTTGAAAATAATCTTTTCTATTTACCTTTTTATTAATTGGGAAGTTTTTTGGATTTTTAATAGTGTTTAAAAGTTAAAAATACTTTTGCCTTGTTAAAAAATCTTGAATTAGGCCAAGCATGGTGGCTCATGCCTGTAATCCCAGCACTGGGAGGCCGAGGCGGGTGGAGGTCAGGAGTTTGAGACTAGCCTGACCAACACAATGAAACCCAGTCTGTACTAAAATACAAAAATTAGCCGGGCATGGTGGTAGGTGCCTGTAATCCCAGCTACTCGGGAGGCTTAAGTAGAAGAATTGCTTAAACCGGGAGGCCGAGGTTGCAGTGAGCCGAGATCCCGCCACTGCACTCTAGCCTGGGTGACAGAATGAGACTCTGTCTCAAAAAAAAAAAAAAATACTGAATTATTTGAAACAAATATTCCTGTAGCTTCATTGTTTCACCTACAAATAATGACCTTCTAATTTCTAATGATTGTTTTCTTTTTAGTTTCATGTGTTCCCAACATCTCTGCAGCATTTTAACATTGTTGGCCATTCAGTTTTCTTCAGACTCCTCCTTTGGCTTTTGAAACATTGTAGTTTCCTAATATTCTTGTTATTTCTTACGAGCCTTTTACCACCTCCTTTTTTTTTCTTTTTTTTTTTTTGGAGACAGTTTCACTCTTGTCACCCAGGCTGGAGTACAATGGCATGAACTCGGCTCACTGCAACCTCCTCCGCCCAGGTTCAAGCGATTCTCCTGCCTCAGCCTCTCGAGTAGCTGGGGTTACAGGCATTCACCACCACCCGCGGCTAATTTTTTTTTGTATTTTTAGTAGAGACGGGGTTTCTCCTGGAAACTCCCGACCTCAGATGATCCACCCACCTCAGATTCCTCGGCCTCCGAAAGTGCTGGGATTACAGGCATGAGCCACCGTGCCTGGCCACCTCCTACTTAAAATATAAGTTATTTCCACCGGATCAGCCCTTCACTCTTTTTTGTTCTTGGATGATGTACATGCTTTGCTTCATCATAGCCATTTCCATGCTTCACCTATCCATCCTATCTTTGCAGGTGATACCTAGATGAACTTTACTGCTCTTGAGGTATTTCTGAAACTGCAGATTCATTTTAATAAATGCCTCTTGGTTATATTTTCTAGCACCTAAATCTCGTATCTAAAGCCAAATTTCTCTTTCCCTGCCTTAATCCACCTAACGGTGTAATTTTAAAAAAGGCAAACATGTTCTTCCTCCTGCGTTTTGTATCCTGGTTGATAGTATTTGTAATTCTAGTGTCTAACTTGACTCACCTTTGACTTTTCCTTATCAAGCTTTATATTAGATCCTATTCATCTTAACTCAGCCATATTTCTTGCATCTTTCTCTCTTGCTGCCATCATTACAAGTTTCTTATCTTACTTGTCTTACTGCCTCTCAATGATACAAAAGGGTGAAGGGCAATGCTTTTTA